AAATGTCTAAAGAAAAAATGATTTTACAATAAATTTTGTGTTGACTGTTTATGTACTGTGTTATTTATTAAATGTTTGTAGTGTTTGCAGTATTTATATGTTATAGTACCTACTAACCTATATTTTATGTTTAAAACTGTGTTTTTATAAATAAATAATCAAAAACTGACCACTACTTTTTTGTTTCCTAAAATATTAACCTATTAAAACTTTATATTCCACCAATCTATAAATATGTCTAAATAAAGTAAGTGCGGTACAAATTATTTATGTTTTTGATTTGCTGTAGCATGAATTTTTGAGTTTAATTATATATTATAGCTTTACCTAGTAGTTGAAAGTTTAGATAAACCATTTGTATTCAATTTATTTGATAATTTAAAAAATACATTATCTAATATTTATGTATACATTTCAGTAAACAATTTGCCACACCATGATGATCCTGTTACTAATTTACCTAATAATCGCCTTGAATTTAAAGAAAGAGTAAACCGTGGTCCATTTCAACCTAAATTACAAATTTTTCCAAGAACAACCTTTGGAAATAAAAACCGTTCTTTCCACCAACAATATTATGAAGAATTTCCTTGGTTAGAATATAGCCCTACTAGTGACTCTGCTTACTGTTTTCCATGTAGGATGTTTAAGTCAAATAGTTTGAACATAGGTCAATCAGATGAAGCATTTACTACCAGGGGGTTCAAAACGTGGAGTACTAGTACTACTTCTTTTAAAAAACATCAGAAAACAAAATCACATTTCTATAGTACTGAATCATTATCAAATTTCCATAAAAAATCTATTGATGTTGTTTTAGATGAAGCTAAAGAGCTAGTTCTGAGTAAAAGAGAAAGTGATAGATTGAATAATAGAAGTATAATGCAAAGGTTAATTGATATAACTATACTTTTAGCTAAAACTGGAAAGCCATTCAGAGGGCATAATGAAAATCTAAAGAGTGATAATAGAGGAATGTTTTTGGAGCTTGCCTGGCTGCTTAAAAAGTATGACCCGACATTAAAAAAACATTTGGATGAAGGCCCCAAAAATGCATCTTATATTGGTAATTTAATTCAAAACGATTTGATTTTATCTATTCATTCTGTTCTTAAAAGAAAACTTGTATCTTCTCTAAAAAACAAAAAAATATCAATCATGGCTGATGAAACGAGTGACTGTGGCCATCACGAACAGATGTCAGTTATTGTTAGATATTACGATGATATAATTAATTCACCAGTTGAGTATTTTATTTGCATGATGCGACTAACAGCAGTAGATTCGCAGTCTATTTTTGATTCTCTAAGTTCCATTGTAGAGAAACAATTGGGTCTCAGCTAGTTGGATGTAGTTGCTGTGTGCTTTGATGGAGCCGCTACTATGGCGGGATGCTCAAACGGTGTCCAATCAAAATGCAAAGAAATAAATTCTAAAATATTCTATGTTCATTGTCATGCACATTGCTTAAACTTAGTATTGGTAGATTCTATTGGCCGAAAGAATCGAATAGTTTTTGATTTCTTTGGTACAATACAATTTTTGTACTCATTTATAGAAGGTAGTTGTATTCGACACGCTACATTAGAAAAAGTAGCCAAAGAAATAAATTTAACTCTTAAGACTCTAAAATCTATTTCTACAACACGATGGGCGTGTCGATTTGAAGCTGTCGCCGCAGTAAAAAATAATTATTTGGCCATTATCTCTGCAATCCAAAAGATCTGTGACACAACTAAAATTCCAGATGTTAGATCAAAGTCAAGAGGTTTACTAATGCAATTACAAACATTTGAATTCATTTTTGCACTAAATATGCTACATCCTCTTTTATTACTCATTGTCAAAGTTAATTCATGTCTCCAAGCTGAGGATTTAGATCTATTAAATTCTCTAAATATGATCAAATCACTAAAACTGAGCATATCTCAATTAAGATCAGATGATAACTTATTTAAAAAAGTTTATAATGAAACAGTTGAGTGTTGTACAGAAACTGGAGTGATTATTCCTCAAGTAAAAAAAAGAAAAATCTCTTCAAAAATTGATCAATCATCGGAAAATCAATATTTTGCATGTACAAAAGAAGAAGAGATGAAAGTTACGAGTTTTAATGTTGTTTTAGATGACTTGTTAAATGGTTTGAATGATCGTTTTAATCAGGAAACATTAAAACTTATACTTACTGTAACGAATATATTAAAACTTGAGCCATCTCAAGAAGATCTATTGTATTTGAATAATGTATTTGGAATCGATAGTGAGCAAATTCAAGTTGAAATTATGTTACTTAAAAATATACCAAATATTCCATCTGGAACCAGTTCTAAAACACTTCATCAATGGATTGATTTTCTAAATTCAAATAATAGAACTTATATTTTTGTTCACTTCTATAAAGTAATAGTACTTTTTGCCACTATTCCGGTAACAACTTGCTCATGCGAACGTGCATTTTCTAAGCTGACGATTGTAAAAACAAAACTCCGCAGCACCATGACTCAAGAAAGACTTGACGCTTTAATGTTTCTATTCATAGAACAACAGATGACAACAAAAATTAATTATGACGAAGTTATCGAGGAATTTAAAGTGATGATACCAACAAAACGACGTTTAGAATTATAATAAGCGAATTTGACTGTATATATTAAGACCATTTCTGATTTTAAAAATATTTGTAAAAAGTATTACACATTAATTATATTTTAAAATACAATTTTATATTGCCTTGTTATTTTATTTATCTAATAAAAGGAATATTGTTTTTTATTCCGAATAAAAAAAGTAAAACTGATTTAATCATTATTAGATAATAATGATAAAGTTTATTAAGAAATTTGGGGGTCATATCCTTAAACCGAAACCAAATTTTTTTTAGGGGGTGATGGGGGGTGCAGAAACCTACTTCCCCTGAATATGCCACTGCTGTGCATGACCTGCGAATAAGGTCTGGACACGCCTATGGGTCCAGGCGTTAGGGTGAGACCTTTTATTATTATATATATATTGTTTATTGACAAGCAGTTTGCCCGCGATTTATGTTAAGCTTATTATATTATTATTATTTGGCTCTTTACTAAGTTTTGTTATATTGTTGTTATATGCGATCCACTGTTGGCTGATCACCTCAGTGAAATTGTCATTGTATTATTTATTATTTATTATATTCTTATGCCAGTACAGGCACCGCAGTGACCGATATACACTGTCACCACCACCACCACCCCCGCCATCATCACCGCGGGTAAAGAAGCTATATCGTAAATTCTCCTACTCACGCTGTAAAGGCCAAGGAGGGACGGGAAGACAAATCGTGCCGGACAAGTATCGGCCGCCGGTGATCGGTCTCTATAGTTTCGACCGTCCGGCAACTCGCACGTGTTTGTTTTTTTTTTCGTTACAACCACGTTAATTGGACTACACAGACCGGCTTTTCCACGCAACACGGATAAAAAGGTACTTAAAACGTCGCAAATTGTATTCGCGGGGTCATCGTAATTCGTCGTCCGAACGACTACCTACGTTTTTTTTTCTTTTTTGTATTTACATGATTACCGTTTATTTTGTTGTTCTGCGACTAAAGGCAACGCACACCTTTTTAGTTTGGATATTTTTAACTTAACAGTAAACCGTGTTAGATTAATTACATTTTATTTTTCCTCTTTTTAGAATCTCCGTTTTTGTCTCATACACACGTGAATTCATCGCTGTAACCGACTTTCCACGGTCTGCCAGACTCAATTAACCACGTAGCCACGTGAGTATTCCCACGACTATTATGAAATGTCTGTACAGTTAAATTTGGTGGCGTATTTAAGGGCAGACTATGAGGCTAGAACCTAGGACAGTTTTTTTTTAGGATTAAGAGTTAGGTATTTGGTAAAATTATTTTAATACATTTTATACATAAATATGTTTTGATTTTTTATATCGCTTAACGGGTTCATGTGAAATAAATGTATGAGAAGGTATTTTATAGAAATACTCTTATACCTAACCGTTATTTAGAAAATACAACAATAATAATAATTCCATTGCCACTCCATGTCTGCCCGTATTTAAACTTCTGATCCACTGACAGAAAGTCACTGTAAATTTTCAACAACAATTGATAATTATTTTACGTCTAATAACCGTTTAATTTTTAATTTATTTTAAATTCATTTTAACGTTGACAACTTACACGAGTAGTCTTGAACTGGATATCTAAACATTCTAACCCAAACTGAGTAGGTTAAAAAAATACTATGTACTAATACTACTAATCATTATTTTATTTTAGTTTCTAGTGGAATAATAATTTTATAAATATTTTATGTCGCTTACTTTTTATTTATATCTACTTAGATTATTTATACCTACATAAACATATTTTAATGTTTAATGCATTATTTTTCTTTTACATTTGGTATAATTCTATTAATAAATTAAGGTTTATGATACACAGTCAATGCATTAATTTTATTACTAGTAAATTTTATTTCATACATTTTTTTGTTATTATTAGGGAACGGATTTTATTGTTAATACAAAAATTATTGGAATGAAATATTTTAAATCTGATAAAAAATGTATACAATTTAGATAATCTTATTAAAATAAATCCAAATTTATTTTACATATCTTAGTAATTTTTGATTTTTTAATTGATTTTCGACAACGTTTAACATCATCTGCTTCATCTAAAACAAGATAAGTCATTTTTAACGATCTTCATATTTTAAAATATAGATATTTTAATAGGAAAATTTGAATTTTTCCTGTTTGACAAGGATCTCTGAAAATTGAATTCACTCCTTCTGATACAGTAAATATGAAATAATTTTACCCTTTTTAGATTTGTTGACGTGGAACGACAAGGTTAGTCAATACAAGAGTATTCTCTACATAGGCGTGTTTACCGGGGGGGGGGGGGGGGCACGGGCCCCCCCGGCGGACTGTACCTCCAAAAAAAATACCCGAATAAAAATGTTGTTTAATTATTATTACTGCACAGTGCACACAAATAATAAAACATTTTATTGTTATTTGAGTTACCTGTTTATTAATTAGTGATCATATTATCATTTATCATATTATATACTCATCAATTCCATAGACCTTATACTAATAGACGGAGCATGGATATAGTTCCAGCGGTCAGACGTGAGTGCGCTGTTCTACTATTACTCTATTACTACGCACATGCGCAATAGAATTTCAGGTTCGGCGACCGTTTGTTGCGTTTAAAAGTTATTGTATGATAAGATTACGTACACAAATGATATCATTGATTATAAATTTATAAAAAGTAAAAACAAAGTTGAAAACAGAAGTTAAAACATAAATTTGTGATTACTAATTTTATTCTTATTTCTTGTCTGTGTGTTATTTGTTAAAACAATTAATTAATAATAATGGTTATAAAGTGTGTCGTTTGTGACGTTCAGTTTAGAGCAAATTCTGAAATTAAATTTCATTCGTAAGTAATATTTTAGAAGTCTCCTAAATTTAAACTTCTTATTTTTTTTTATTTATTAATATATTTTATTATATGAAAATATTATGTTAAATTTACTTTAGATTTCCTAAAAATGAATGTCGTAAACGTCAGTGGAAATCGGCATGTGGCCTAAATTTGTGTTTACCTTCATACAAAGTATGTTCTAGTCATTTTAGGCCCGAAGATTACGAGTTGAGTGGGCTTCTAAAGAAAGATGCTGTTCCCTGGTAATACTTTATAATAATAATTTGATTTAAAATATAATAATATAATGTAAGTTTATATTAATGATTTTAGTAAAGATAATGAATTGATTAATAGTAATATAATGACAACTCCAGAAAAAAATAAGCCTGATGACTATTTAACAATAACTCAGTCTCCAATATCTGAGATCTGTGTCACTCCTAGGTAAAATTTAATATTATATTATTTTATTATATATACTTAACATGTCATATTTTATTGTAATAGAGGCGATAAATATTATTATGTTTCAGAAAACGTGATTTGGATGATATAGAACCTATATCAACACCTCAACTATCATCAAGTTTAAAGAGGCGTAAACGTATAAATGCAGATACTATTGGAATATTGTCTCCTAGTCATTTTTGTACTCCAAAACGTACTAAAAGAAATATTCAAATGATAAAAAATAAATTCAAACAAAAACAAATCCAAAATCACAACCTTAAAAAGCAAGTTCTAAGACTTAATGTTAAACTCAAGACATATGATGAATTAATTGAAAAATTACAACATAAAAACCTATTGTCTGAAAATGCTTCTTATCACTTACAAGTATTATTTTAATTTACATTACTATTTTAAAATGACCAATGACCATAACTTTCTTTTTTAGTATTGTTTAGGGTAACCATACGTCCTATTTTAAACAGAATTATCCCATTTTTTTTTTTAGTATTTTTAATACATATATTATATAAATATTGTAAATATATTGTTTATATTGTTTATATTGTTTCATGTTTTGACAAACATGACCTAACCTATGAAAAGGTGTCCTGTTTTTTTTTTTTTTTAAATATGGTCACCCTAGTGTAGTTAGTACAGTGGCGTAGCCAGGATTTTTTTTTAGGGGGGGGGGTTTTTTAGTAATAAAATAAAATAAATCTACAACCGTTTTTAAATAATAAAATAATTGAACGATAATGATTATTGTCACCAGTGCAGTCGATAACGTGAATACGGCATAACAGAATACATTTCACCACGAATAAAT